CACCAAATCAATGAGGGAAAAATAAAATTGAAGATCCTTACCTCTAAACAATAATGATAGAATCTTCAAGAAATAGATGATGTTACTCGAATAAGGACAACGAAGAAAATTAACAATGGTTAGCAATGTGCAATACAAGGGAAAATGAGGTAGAGAACCAACTACAATGCACAATACGAGAGGAACAAGGAAGAAGAATGAACGAAGAGGAAGATCCCAACCACCATGGTCCTCCTCCAACGGCAGCAAGGGATTGAGTTCCACAAGTCGCCCCCTACAACTGCGACCAATAGTGACTCAATGCAAGAAAAGAGAGGAAAATTATGAACTGTGCTTCATCTATCAACACCCACAACTTCTACACTCATCCACGCCGGTGACGATCAACAATAGTAGAGTGACGACTGGTGAAATGAGAAAAAAACAAGAAAAACAGTGAACCGTGCGTCGTCTATTTCATTTCTTTGAGGGTTCACACAGCTTTTCTGATTCAAATCAAACAAAGCGTAAAATTATATTTTTGCTGCGAAAAAATATTGCAATTGGGGTCCCAAAACTTGCAAAGCAATATCAAATTTGTTTAGACCCTAAGTGCAATAAAGTTTTTTTTTAGGACCTTTAATGCCATTCCCCCTTTTTTGTTCAATAAATATTTTTAATAAATATAAAATCTAAGTCAAAAATAAAAATTATTCTAAACCTAGAATTTCAAAAGATGAATTTATAAATGCAAAATTATAATTTTAAAACTTTAAATTTGGATGATTGAAATCAAATTAAACATCCAAATTTAATATTTTTTTACTTTTTATATTTTTAAAAGTATTTAAGATTAATGAATAAAATAATGACCAGTACGATTATTATGTTAGCATTTAGTAAATAATTGTTGAGAGAATCACATCCAAGGACCACTCAAAAAATTTATACAAAAATTAATAAGAAATGAATTGTTATTAAATAAAAACATGGATTGGACTTGTTATTAATCTTTATCTATAAATAAGCTTTGAGTGGCTATTGGATGTGATTACCTACAGTAGTATCAGCTTCTTCTGTTAATTAGATTAACAGGATTAAGATTAGAAAACTAAAAAATAAATAAAATTAAGATATTAAATTGAAATTAAGTAAAAAGTTAGGTTAGAAGATTAGATGTGTTTTTTTTTTAATGATCAAAGGAAAACTAACAAAATTAGGGGAAAAAAAACAAAACAGTGAAACACCAATAAAATTAACCTGGGTCGACTAGAAGATTAGATGTGTTATTCGACTTTAATTTATTAACAATCGACTCTCTAAACTCATTTTCAAGCTCACTGATTCTATATATGACGATTAGATTAATGAAATGATTATTTAATTTCTTGAAGGAAAAATAATCCTTTGATCCTAATAGTTTCACTAGATTTTCAACTCAGTCCCTATATTTTTTTTATTGCCGTGACTCAATTCTTACATCTTTATGGAAAAATCACAATTAAAGACTCAGGAAGAATATTAATAAGACTATCACAAAATTTTGAAATTGAATTTAAGGACCATGATCTTTTTTTTCCATGATCTTTCTTTTTTTTGACATTAAAAGAATGATTATTTAAATAAAACAACCCTCTCCCTGTTTGTACGAGTGGTGGTCTGGGCAAGTAGCAAGTAGCAAGTAGTATATCCAGCAAGTGGCTGTCATTATATTCATTTTGGTCATTGTGAAATACTCCGTGTGTTTCCCTCCTCTTTCCTTTGATTGTAGGTAAGTAATGTTAGGTCTAGGGGTGTGCATGTAACCCGATTGCCCGATATGCTTGCCCAGAATCTGGTAAAATTTTGCCCAACCTGGCCCTAAAAAAAGCTGCCCGACATGACTTGGGCATGTTTGGGCAGGGCATTGTTCAGGCAGGGCCAGGCCACAGGCAGGGTAGCATGCCTTGCCCATTTGGCCTAGCTCGAGTATATTAATATATTTTTTAAAATTTTTAAAGGGTTAATTATATTAAGTATTAAGACTTAAGGAAAGACGGAAAGAAAAATTAGGAAGAAGCTTTTTGTAAATTGAAGTCTACTCTGTGAAAATTTTTTTTTTTCATGATGCTCCAAACTTTTGTAAAATTTATTGTTTGTAATGGATTATTGTAGCTATTATTTTGGATTGCATTATGGATAATTTCACTGTGTCAAGACTTATGGTAGTTTTATATTTTAAGTTAGATGTTGAATTATAGATTATTGAATATCATAGTTGTTATTTTTTATTTATGGTTTACATCTTTATGGATGTTATTTTGAGTTGATGGGCTGGGTCATTGTTGTTGATTTATGGTAGTTTCATTTGAAATTGATGGAAAGGGAGATTATCTGATGGGCAGGGCAACCCGAAGGTGCCCAACTTGCCCTACCCAACCTAAGCTAATAGGGTATTTTGCAGGCAGGGCTGAGAAGCGGGCTACATTTTTCAACCCATGCATCCTTTGGGCAGGGCATCGGGCAAGGCCTTGCCTAGCTCAGCTCAGCCCATGTGCACCCCTAGTTAGGTCTAGGTTGGTTGGTGTTTGTTATTATTTTGGTTTGAAGACTAGGCAGGTGAAAAAGAAATGGGGTAATTATGTTGGATTCTTATGCAAATGAGCTTTGTAGTAATTAATTTTTTTAGGTGAGAATTGTATGCAGTTCTCCAGAAAGAAATTTGGCCAATAAAAAGAAAAGCAAAGAAACGAAAACACAGTGTTGTGACTCCCCTTCCCTGCGCCATCTTTATTGGCTTTGTTGTGATTTGTAGAAAAATGGAGGAAGGTCGTGTTCTTGTCTTGTTCCTGGTAACTTGAGCATGCATTAAATTGTTGTCTTTGTTGTTAAGGAAAATGAATCTATGATTGAAAACTGTCTAGGTGTTGAAAAATTTTAAATTGGATGCTGAAATTTGTTAAATTTAAATGATAGTTGTAAATGAATTACATACAACATCTATGTACATCATAATATAAATCATTATTAATTAATCCACGATTTATGAATAATGTTAGTTAAAATTTTAAATTCTTAAAAATATTCATATATTTTTATTTATACTCATTAAATACTTTATATAAAAGCTTTGATGAGAGTAATTAAAATTCTAATACATGTTTTTTTCAACAACAAAAAAGTAATAAGTGAAATAAGAGCATAATTAAAAAAATAAATATAAAATTATTCAACGCCCTACATTATGAAGTAGATATGGTTTCTAGAATATGCTAGTATATAGTATTTTCTTCTTCCAGTTCACTTTCCTTACATAATCACTGCCTTTGTATTACTCGCCAGTAACCTCTGGTTCATCCATGGCAGCTTCTGTGTGTCACTTTAGGTTCGTCCATCGCCCATAAATATGGTTCTTGTTGCTAGTGGTATGATTTGCACCTTGGAGCTTGGATGGCACTCCTATTTTAATTTTGCTGGATGAAATTGAAAAGATAGTAAAATTTTGCTAAATATTTTACTCCCTCCATTCCAAATTATAAAATATTTTTAAATAAAATCTCACAAATTGATAAATTTCATTAAATACATTTAACAACCTTATCTTTTTAAAATAAAAATATAAACTTTTCAAAATACCCATCATTTATAATATTAAAAAGAAAAGAGATGAAAATTAATTATAGAAAAAGAAAAGATAATATTAAAATTGATACATTTAATGAAATCTTAATCTACTCAAAGTGTCTTATATTTTGAAATGAAAAAATTTCTTTAAAAGTATCGTATAATTTAAAACAAAGAGAGTATTTGATAAAACATAATAACATTGTACAATTTATGTAATCGATCCCAACTAATAGAATAAAGCTTGTTGCTGCTACTGCTGTAATATTTGCATTTGTTTTGACGAATTTTTCATTAAATCCAAACAAAGCATATTGAATGGCATCTTGCGGTATATTTGGTATGTTTCTTGTTTCTTGAATTTTTTGCCTAATGTTTTGTTTGGTTGAAAGGGAGAGGAGAGAGAAAGAAGGAGAGGGGTGATCACCTGACGAAACAAGCCCCTTCCCTTGCCTTGTTCCACAGGCTCCTCTCTCCTAATTTGATAAGACAGAGGATCTCCTCCCCTCCCTTACAATCAAACATTATCTAAATGTTCAAGAGTCATTTTATATGTTTTCTTTCTGGCAATAAACAATTTGCAATTTTGTCCAAGAAACCATGATAGCTTAACCCCTCTTAACCCAACTAGGTTGACTAGCTCAACCTATATTCAAACGAGCTGAAATGAGTTGGCTACGAGTACCTGTTTTGTCCTATATGAGCGAGCGAGTTACAAGCAACCCTCAGGCTAATCTACCTCACCCATTACTTAACCCTATTAAAAATATAATTACCTATTTCTATCCATAATGATCAAAGACTGCCAATAGAAAGTGAAAATCTGAAAACTTCTTCTATCAAGCCCAACCCCTTTGAAACCAATGCTACATGTCTACTTGTAGATTACTAAAACCCTTTCCAACAAAGAAGGAAAAGGAAACCTCGAAAATTTGTTAATAGTATCCAAAATAAAATTGCTCATGATAGACCACAACCAGATAGGGGGGAAAACATCACAACCCACAAGGAAGATATAATTACCAACAAAGAAAAACCTAACAAAAAGGCACACAAGACACGGTGGATAATCTTCTCCAGCTTCAATGGAAGCCTCAACTCCGAGAGGCAAATGAAACTATCCTTAACACCGAGGACGAATTGCTCAAGACCATACTCAAATAATACTGAAACTTCTCTGTTGTACTAGCTTTGATATGCACATGATATCGCCATAACAATGCTGAGCCATTTTTTATTTTGATTTTGCTAGAATTCGGAAGTAAAGTATCTAAAAATTCAGCTCAAGCAATTTATTATATAATTGGATCCTTACCACGGATAAGGATCCCAATCAATAAATCGCAAAAATGCTTCCGAAGTCTTCAATTTCCCGTTAAGTAGTATAAAACGCCACATCGAAACACAAAATCAGAGTATAATATAATTGAACAGACTAGATTTTCCATTGATGAAACCATTATATCAGCGATTGCCCACAAAAAAGCTCCAAAAGGCAAATCCAACTAAGTCACATGAACTATGACGATTAAACATTAAACTATACAACTCTAACTGAATTCTCATATCTCAAGCACGCTCACCCCTGATACGCCTTGCAAGTTGAATATCCTTGGGCATAATAGTGACCCTCTTAGCGTGAATAGCGCAAAGGTTAGTGTCCTCGAAGAGTCCGACCAGATAAGCTTCGGCGGCTTCCTGAAGAGCGGAGACGGCGGAGCTCTGGAATCGGAGATCTGTCTTGAAGTCCTGAGCGATCTCACGAACCAGACGCTGGAAAGGAAGCTTTCGGATCAGAAGCTCCGTGCTCTTCTGGTACTTCCGAATCTCACGGAGCGCCACCGTACCGGGCCTGAAGCGGTGGGGCTTCTTCACACCGCCAGTAGCCGGAGCAGACTTCCTAGCAGCCTTGGTCGCCAACTGCTTCCTCGGAGCCTTGCCGCCGGTGGACTTACGAGCCGTTTGCTTGGTACGCGCCATTGGAAGGATTTGATCAAAGTATATGATCTTGAAAAACGAAAGTGAAGAGAGATTTGAGACGGATGAAACAACGACGATTGGGTGCTGAGATAGAGTGATTTATTATACATACAGAGCTTTCGATTGGGAATTTTGCGCGCCGAATTCTAGATGGTCCTGACCGTTGATTTTAATGATGAATCGACGGGTTTTGTTTACTGAGTGCATGAGTGCTGCGGATAAAGAGAAGTGTGATTGATATTGAGGACCGTCGACGGGTTTCAATGTACCGTTTGGATGGAATCTTATATTGGCGAGGATCGATGACTTGGCATATGTGCCTTGCTCAAGAGCAAAATCAATCAAATAGTCAATTAATAAATTTACGGATTACGTACCATCACACAGTTTAAAAAAATAAGGCAATTACAATAATTATGTTTAAAAATAAATAAATTAAATTAAAATATCATGTATTAATTAATATAATTATGTATTAATTATTTTTTATTAATGTAAATTATGAAAGGTGATTTAAAAAATATATAATAAATATTTATTAAAATATATTATTTTATTCATAAAAATATATAAATAAAAAATTGTAGTTTTTTTAATAATAAAAAATAGAATAAGTATTGTATATCATATAATATTATTATATATGTATGAATGTATCAAAATGGCAAAGTGAATTCTATACTTCGTTGGCCGGGCAAAAAAAAAAAAAGGTTAAGGTGCATATTTATTTATCAACTTTTTTGTCAAAGAGCAATTTTATTATTGTATTAACAAGTATTTTACTTTTAAATTATTTTTTTGAGAAGATAATAATTCTTTTTACAAGATACTTAGCGTTTCTCGAAAAGTTAGTTCAGAGATAAAATCACCACACTTATTAATATAAGGATAAAATTACCCTCGAGAAAAAGTTCAAAGTTAAAAATGTAATTTAATCCAAAATAAATAACATGTATATAATTAAATTTAGAATCAAGAGATTCCAGAATAAGATTTGACTAACTCATATGTTATGAATCTATGTATTAATCCTTTGAAAAAATGATAATAGATATTGATATAGGAGGGGACCAAAAAAAATTTTAAAAAAATAAATTAATAAGTTGGGTCTTGAAACTCGAATCAAAACATATATTCATTTTCAAAAAATACTTATCAAGGCACAATCGCCAACTGATAAGGTGCTTGCATCAAGAGGTGCAACGGTGAGATGACCAAAATTTTACAATAGGAAGAATAATTGTGTAATTTAGAGTTATAGTTTTTTTCAATGAAAAAAAAAAACCACCCCCTTATCATAAATTATATGAAATTTTAAAAAAATTGATATTTTAAAATATAAGACATTAATAATTTTTTTAATATTACATGTTTCATATATTCTTTCTCTTTAATATTATTTTATAAATAAAATTTTAAATGAAAGACATTTTTTAAAATTTATAGTATTATCTTGAAAAATAAAGTTATAAATTATATTTTATAAATTTTATTAGTGTGTGTGATTTAATTTAAAAGTATTTTATAATTTTAAATATAAATAATACCTATTTTATTCGAAAATAAGAAAATAAAAAGGGCAGTCGCTTGTACTGACACTCGCAAATAATTAGTGCTCAAAATATAACTAGAGAATTGTATCAATAATTGTGTAAATATAGTAATACAACAATTACATGCAATTTAAAAAGTTTATTAAAATAATTGTAAAATGGAGCTCGTTTGTAGTTTCTTATCCTTTTGGCCATCAAATACTTCCGTATCATTATAAAAAATGATCCAATATATTTTATTTGCCTCCTGAAAATAATTTCCAATAGCCCTCCTCTCAAGAAAAAAATCCATTTGCCTCCATAAAAATTTCATCTATCCTCTAAAAAAAATATAGATTGAAAATGAAAGGAATAAAAATTTAGAAACTAAATTCTTTATTTGATTAAACAAAAAAATTCCTCCACTACATAAAAGAAGTAAATAGCGATTGCATTTAAGCCATTCAATTGATACAGTACGGTTATATTGAGAAGCACCTTTTTAAGAACATTGTTGAGAATGCTCGATTGCTTTATCATAGAGATTGAAATATCATACTTTCTCCATTTTTATATATAAAATATTTTTTTAAAAATTTATTTTATCTCTAAATATAAGGTGTGACAATAATTTTTTTTAATAATTAAATAATTTTATCTTTATCTTAAAAAATAAAATAAATTATTAATTGTATGTTCTTTCTATCACTATCACGATATTAATTATGATATTATTAGAAGTAAAGCTAAAAAATCATTGTATTTTTATATAAATTCAATAAAGCAATAAACTTTTATTAGTATGCGAAATTCAATTAAAAATATCTTATATATAAAAATAGAAAAAGTACTTCATTATATTAGTAGGAATTGTAACTCTGATGCTAATTATCTTGCTAATTTGGCTCATAGGTTAGCTTCTAGTTTTGGTACTTGTGATTTCTCCTCACCTTTTCCTCAGAAGACAACGGCAGATGATAATGTCTCTTTTGTAGACCTTAGAGTTTGTAATCTCTTTTGATTAGTGCAATTCATCTTTCAGTTAAAAGAAAAAAACAAGAAATTTACCTATCTTTGACAGTTTTATCTTTATGCTCTATACCTTATTCTTTGGCAATTGATTCAATTTTAACAAATTTTTTATCTCCAATGTAGCTCAATAAATATTTAAAATTATATTTTTTAAAACAAATAGTTAATGTTCAGGGCATTGGTTGGTGAGCTCAATTCCCTTCACAATTCCTTATCCAAGAATTCCCTCAAAGCAAACAAACTATATTATTAACATCATGAACACAACAGAACAGTTAAGTCTCCGCCGCAATATAATGAAGAATAATCTATCTGACTAGTTTTTTGTCTGCTGAGTTGAATTTTGATGGCCTTTATGGTATAGATATTTTTGCCAATTGATTTGAATGCAAAGATATGATAGACTCGCATATTTCATATTGATTCTGAATGTTAGGAACAGACTAACAATCAAATCACGACCATAATTGATAGAGAAAGACGTGATAATTGGCAATGCATCGGATATGAATGAAGTGAAAGCTGCTTGCAAACCTTATTGAATAAAAGTATATATCTTCTCGGTACTGTGCACATTCCCATGTGAAACCAGCTTGAACTTCTCTACTTAGTTTCAGTTCCGTAACCACTCTGATAGAATTTTACTAATAATCGTCAAATTATCCATAATAAAATTCTCACATTTCCCTTAAACCAATTGAAGACACGATGAATCTCAGTTCACTAGAAACAGAAATCTAAGCACAACATTAGATCAGATTCTTTTTCCCAGCTCAGGAGTTATTAAACTTGTTCAGAATTGGAAAGTGCCACAAATAGGAAACTGAAATTGGGGAAAAGAATTTAACAGAATCATTTGTGCCTTAGACAAATCCATTACATGAGAACTAGCTTACAGATAACTTCCAAAAGGTAAATCCATCAAAACCGCATTAACGACTAAGAATTCACCGATCTACTACTATACAAGCCTAACCGAATGCTCAAGCACGCTCACCCCTGATACGCCTCGCAAGCTGAATATCCTTAGGCATAATAGTGACCCTCTTAGCGTGAATAGCGCAAAGGTTAGTGTCCTCGAAGAGTCCAACCAGGTAAGACTCGGCGGCTTCCTGAAGGGCGGCGACGGCAGAGCTCTGGAATCGAAGATCCGTTTTGAAGTCCTGAGCGATCTCACGAACCAGACGCTGAAAAGGAAGCTTCCGGATCAGAAGCTCCGTGCTCTTCTGGTATTTTCGGATCTCACGGAGCGCCACCGTACCTGGCCTGAAACGGTGGGGCTTCTTCACGCCACCAGTAGCAGGAGCAGACTTCCGAGCAGCCTTGGTCGCCAACTGCTTCCTCGGAGCCTTGCCGCCGGTGGACTTACGGGCCGTTTGCTTAGTACGTGCCATCGGAAGGGCTTGATCACAGTATTGGCTTGAGAGTTGAAAGAGGAATGAGGAGACGACGATTCTGCGCTGGGATGGTGCGGCTTGTTAATATATACAGAGCTTTTTTTTTTTTTTTTTTGAGCAGAAAATATATACAGAGCTTTTGATTGGGAATTTTTGCGCGCCGAATCATAGATGATCCTGGCCGTTGATTTCATGGAGGAATCGACGGGTTTTGTTTACTGAGTGCTGGGAGCTGCGGATGAGAGAAGTGGCGATTGCTATTGATGACCGTTGATCTGTTTCAAAGAACGGTTTGGATGGAATTTAATGATTGACGAGGATCCATGACTTGGCATGAGTACATACATAATTGGATTAGCTGGGAATGCAAGTTTGACTCCCTCCCTGATTTACGATCTCTAATAAATCAATTTATCTTATTAAGAAAATATAATTTTTAGTTTGTATTTATTTTATGTAGTGTCTCATATGAAAAATATGACACTGATTGATTCTCATTTTTAATACTACTCCTTATTAAGCGTATTTTCTTAAAAAATTGTATTCATTACATTTTAAAAACTAAAAAATACTTTATATTTTAAAACATATTTAATCTTAATCCGAGGAAATGACTACTTGGCACCGTCATATTTTACATTATTATGTAGATAAAAATATATAAAGTCTTCATTTGATTCTATATGTAACTATAATTATAGTTATAATTATTAATTATAATATTTATAAGCTATCATTTATGAAAATATTTAGTTGACATGTGTAAAAAATTGAACACCAATAAATTTTGAACTCACACTTTTTTCCAATTCAATAATTGTTCTGTTTTAAAAATTCTATTTTGAATCCAAGTTTGAGTAGTATAAAGAAATGGAGGCTGTTATAGAATGAGTAAAGATATAAAGGAAGAAAAGGGAAATATTAGAAGAGAATATTCAGAAAGTGAGAGAAAAAAGAATTCTCATTTTAATATGTTAAATACAATTGAACTGCCTCTTATTTATGGACACATATATAACTGACTAAAATAAATAAAATACATAAAATATTAATAACTAAAAAATATTGTAATAATCAAAAGATGTCAAAGTAATTGAAAGATATGAATATCTATATAATATCTTAAATATTCATAACATTTCTGCTTGAATGTTAACAAAAGATACCATGCATTGTTAAAACTTTATTAGAGAAAACTAATGGGATAAAAATGTAATGAAGGAAAAAAAAACACAATATTCTTGATATTGCACTATTAAAAACCTTACCATAAAAAACCCAATAGAAAAAAACATGATCGAGGAAAAAAGAGCACAATGTATATAAACTTCCATCATGACTAAATTAGTTAATATTATTAAACTTGCGAGCTCTAATATTATATATAAGGTTTTCAAAAGTTAAAATAGAAAGTGCTTTAGTCAACAAATCTACTAGGTTATTATTAGAACAAACTTGTTTTTGGATTTGTCCATTTTTCTAAATATCGTGTATGAAGAAGAATTTTGGTGAGATATGTTTTATTATGTCTCCTTTAATATATCATTTTCTCAACTGGGCAACACATGCAACATTATCTTTACATATAATTGTTAGGACCATTTTTTCAAAAGAAAAACCACAAGCACTTTGAATGTAATAAACCACAAATCTTAACTAAATGCATTGTCAACTTGCTTCATGCATTGCTAAAATTTATTTGTAATTAGAAGATGCAACCACTATAATATTTTTCATAAATCGCCATGAAATAGTTATGCCACCACACATAAACAAGTAGCTCGTTTAAGATTGACCATTATAAGGATCTAACATGAATCCTGCATTTACATAACCTATAAAATCCTATGTGATTTTGTTTGAATATAATAAATCCATATCCATAGTATCTCTAAAGTAATGTAGAATATGTTTAGCTCTATTCTAATGCCTTCATGTTGGTGAAGAACTATATCTTGTTAATAGATTGGTAGCAAATAATATATTAGGTCAAGCATGACTATCAAGATACATTAGTGATCCAATGGCACTAAAATATGATACTTCTGGACTAAGTAGTTTTTTATCTTCTTCTTGAGGCCTAAAATAATATTTGTCCTTATCTAAAGATCTAACAACCATTTGAGTTTTTAAAGGATGTGCTTTATCCATATAAAATCACTCTAGAACTCATTTTATATATGTTTTTAGGTACACAAAATTACTACCATTCAAATATTCAATTTTTAATCTAAGGCAAAATTTTGTCCTTCCCAAGTTCCTCATCTCCAATTCTTGTTTTAAGCAATTCATAACTTTTTGAATCTCTGTAAGAGCTCTAATAATATTTATGTTTTTAATATATACTATGATTATTACATATTCATTTGCATGAACAAATAAAATCATTCTTATATCCTTCCTTTATCAAATATTCACTAAGGTGATTATACTACATATGCCCATATTGTAAAGTCTCTACTTAATTCGGATTTTACCATTCTAAAATACACAATTATCAAACAACAATCACATAATATCAGAGTAATAGCTCTCAAATGGTTTTTAAAATGTGGGATCCCAATTTTGTCAAACATATATTCAAATCAAAGGACTAACGAAAGTGCAAACACAATTCTATTACTCAATGAAACACAGTGTTTCTCCCTTGAAAAAGTGCCATGTGTTGTAGCTTACACCATCATGCACCACAACATATGATACAAAGCAAAGTGCTCTATTCTTCTTTGTGTCATGCACCGCAGCGTGCATACAATGCGCTGTGGTGCATATGACAACAAATTCTGCTATCATACGATAATTCATAAGGTGAACTTTCGCCACGCGTCATTTTCATATTTGATGTTCGATTAGAGTGATTCAAATGACCACACGAACCTTATAATATATTCTATCTAATGATATAAGTTTAGACTCGATCTAACAGTCCGATCTAGAATTAGATACCCAAGTGTAAAAAAGCTATATTTCCTTTCAAAACATAGAACCCTAAGTGTTCAATTCTTATTCATTACCCTATTAGAGCACTTTGGGCTTTGAACTAAATTCAAAAGAATCACATACACCTAATTAACACTTCGAATCACGTACATCACATTAATTACTTAAATTGACCTCTCAACGCCATATTACACACTTATGGGCTTATATTAGGCACAATACATGTAACAATACTCTCTCTCTCTCTCTCTCTCACACACACACACTATCTCTCTCTCTCTCTTATTCCACTTCAATCATCTGACTCTCACATATAGGGCTCTGCCTCACCATACGGTCAAAAATGATAAATATACTCAACTCTTCCAATGAGGCTTTGCCTCATCATTTGTGCCAAGTTCTCACATATACACATAATTTCATATATATACAAGTGGAACAAGTTACATAATAACATACATTTGCTTAATTGACATCCAGGCCTACCCACGTACCCACTACTATGGTATCCTCAATGAGATATAATGTCACATATCCAAGCAAGTTTTCAATCACAATTTATATATACATTCACATACTTATTTTCACATATGCTTATGCATCTTAATTGGCAACTTAATTCTAGCAACATATTATACATTTACTTATACAATGGTAGTCATACAATTACCAATCAAAGCTACTCTTTCCTCGCTTCCTTTTTTAGCCTTCTCATGCTCTCTCTACCTCGGTATTCAGATATAACCCAAATACCAGTTAGTAAGCAAAATTATAAACAAAAGATAAAGCAATATGTATTTCAATAAAATAGTATAGTGTGCATATACACAAATTCATATTTATCAATATATCATGCTCATACTTATGCACTCCTGGTTTTCCTCTTAGTGGATCAAGCTTTATGCTAGAACCAGGACTTACAGTTTTACACAAAAACAAGGCCCATCATACCTCTATCTCATATTAAGTATCTTCTTCGCATATGGGTGGTCTCCTAGGGCCTTTCTGGTGAAGTCAAGCTCTACGCTCAAGACCTTTAGAACTTTCTAGCCTTACATAGAGTAGGACTATGACCCTCTACCCTAGTTTAGGATACATTCGTGGACCATTGTCCGAGGTCCACTTTGGTGGAGTCAAGCTCTACGCTTAAGACTTTTAAGATCTCCTAAGTCCTTCCTAGTGGAGTCAAAATCTATGCTTAAAACCTTCAAGACTTTCTAGACTTGCACATAATAAGGCCGCGACTCCCTACCCTAGTCGTGGATGCAATGCACATATCTCTTCAGATTCATCTCATACATTACTCACACACCCGCATACATATTTCTTTCACAATATTGCTACTCTATCAGTTCATACACATAATGCACATAGTTATATAAAAATACTTGCAAATAATTTCATAAATAAACAAGTAAAAGGGTTACTCCAGTTACCTTTTACCCTTTTCACTAAGGGTTACCAATCGTAGTGAACTCCCAAGAGTATAAATTCTCACAAGCAACATCATGATATTCAATCTACACAATGTAATGCCCCTCAATCAATTCTTAACACTCAACATAGGTATTGATTTGGCTAAACCAAATCTCTTAACATACAAGACATTTCAATCAACACCTTTCTACTTCATATAATCCATTCTTTATAGTCACTAGCCCTATAAGTTATTCAAATGACTATAACACCCTCCTAACTCATTTTACCAAACCAATTTCTTAATTTCAACCTAATTATTTAGGCTAATTTTAGCTTAAACTCTTAAAGTTCAATTATTTAACTCTAGACTAGTCATAAAACCTTAGTTTCATATTTAAAAGCCCTTTTAAACCTTTCTTTTAGATTCCAACACCTTAAAACTTCCTGACTCAATTTCTTAACCATCCAAATTCAATAAAAATATTGTAAAAATGAAGCTCATGGCTGTACGATACTTATTCAACAAGTCATTAGCCGAAGCAAATTCCCAAACTCTAAATACTTGATGCCCTAGCAGAGAAGTTCCTTCCATACCTTAGATGCATTTTCTCTTCTTTCCTCTTTTGATTTCACGAGTTCTAACTTAACTCTTAAGTAAAATTTTGTGCCATGGGCTGCGGCATATGCAACTTCTGTGGCGGTGCTTA